TTATTAACTAACTGATCACTAGTAATAATTGTATAATTATTCAAAACTACCTAGATGTCCGGAGACTCTAGGATTATTACAACTCCGGTGATGCCCTTAACGAGGAAAAATTTAGATTTTATGAATCTTCAATTATGAATTCATAATTGGGTATCAATTCTCATAAATTTATTAAAATGCATAACTAAAATTTTTAGGTCTGCTACACAACCTACGTGTTAACTGAGGTACATACCAAACCATGATCTTTTGCTAACTTTAACCAAGTAGTTTTGTTGCTTAAACCCAACCAAGTACTTTTTTGCCTAAACCCACTGCAACGTTCCACGACTTTCACGTTTGAAAATGGTGATGTTTGAATGCTGGTTTGGCTGGTGTTGCACGGCGGCCGGGGTGTGTGCTGGGCATGGGGGATGTCGGCTGGCGCCAGGGGCCTTAGTTTTTTTCCGGCGGTTGGGGGGACGGCGGACTTTTATTGGCGGGTGCTGCCGGGCTGGGACTTGCTGCTGGTGTTTCTCTCCGCTGGCTTTCGCTGTGGTGTTGTTCCATTTGCTCTCTCTCGTTTGCCCGACCTCGCACGTGGGATTTGCGGGGGGCTGCTGGGCATTGGGTGTCGCCGTGCTCGCGCAGTGTGTGCGTTGGGATCGTCACTTGTGCATTGGTGTTGATAATTGCGTGGCATTTGGGCGTTTTGGTTGTTCGCTGCGCGGCGGTGGGGTGCTGGGGGAGCACTGGTCTATGTTGTGTGCGCGCCGCGGTCGGTCTGGGCGCTGCTCTTCCGCGGGTTACGCTTTTTGCGTTCCGTCGGCATTACGTTGTCAACTGGCATTTGGGTCGGGGTCTTCCGCGTTTGCATTGCGGTGCATCTGGGAGTCTTTGTTTTTTTTGTGGTTGATTTATTCTTTTTCTTTCTCCCACCCCTATTGGCTACTGGGGTTCTTGCCTTCCTGTTGCTGGGGTAGGTGTGGCACAGTCGTGGCGTCCCACTCTCACTAACAACTACATTCTTTAACAGGCTTATGCGCACACACATGTACACACACATATACAGACACATTCACCCACATGCACACAGACACACAGTCTCACACATAGACACAAACAAATTTAGGTTGTCCCTGGTAAAATTATTCCTGATGCTTTTCTTTCAGTTACTTATTTAAATTAATTGTTATTATTCCAGCTCTCGTGGCTGTGTTGTGTTGCTTATTTAGTGTGCTGGACTGTTTCTTCTTTTCATTGTTCTCTTAGTTGTCTTAATATGTCAGCTGTTCATTGCTGCTGTTCGGCTGGTTGTCTTTTACTATTATTATTATTTTTATTGTTTGTTTTTGTTTGTGTTTGTTTGTTGTGTTTTTCTCCTTCCCAAGCCCCCCTTTCTGTTCTATTGCAGGTTTTGTTGCTTTCTGCAATTGGTGTTTCCCTCTGCTTTTCCCTGTTGTCCCCACCTTCCATCCCCCTTCTCTTACAGGTGTTGTCCTTTCTCTGTGCTGTCTGTTTGTGCCCCCCTATCCCTGTGTCTGCCCCCCTGTCCGGCCCGGTGACAAATCAAGACATAATTAAATAAATAATAAAACAGACAAAGGAGTATATTAATACTCTCTTGTTAAAGTAAAACCTGTCTGGCACATTATGGTATCCAGGTCATTATACTCTATACCAGGCTGCTGGGCAGGACAGGTTTAGAAAAAAAAGAAAAAAAAAAGAAAATGGTAATGTTTTGAAACGCGTTTTATTTTTAAAGTCTAACCGGACATTGCATATTTATTGTTGCTGACTTGACCGCGGAGCCTTAAACGTCAATAAATGACGCAAAGGGGTACCCAGGTCGTTAAAAGGTGTCGCCAAAGGGCCTTGACCAAGCGTCAATATGTGACGAGTCGGGAGTGAGAATGTGTTGGACAGGTAGGCTACATCAAAAACACAAGCAAAGAAAGGCAATTAAAAGAAAATACATCCTATATACAAAAAGAACACACATAAATACACACTTTAAGCTACACCTATTAATAAATACATAATATAGTTAAACAGTAGTTAAATACTAAATACCAGTCTGTAGGGTGTGACAGAATTTCCTTCCTGCCTTAATTACTTTGCATTCATTCTGACAGTGGCTGGGAAAAACTGTTGTGGAAACATGCCTTATGAGTGGTGATGCTCTCTGGCCTGTGATGTCTGAAGTTGTATCCTTAACAGAGTTGTTCAGGTGGTTGGTTTTGATATTTGAAGGCAGAATCTAGGCAAACTAAAGAAATGTTTAGTTTAGGGATGGCCATCTTTGAGGAATGGGTTTTATGGAGCTCTGAAGCTCAGTTACTGAAAAAACTTCATGCAAATTTAGTAACAAATTTGAACATTTATACACTTAAAACCATGTTTTCAAGTAATCCTTTTTTCAGGAAATGTTCCTTTAAAACAATATTGAAATATCACTGGTTAAAAAGATGTCAGATGTCTCAGCACTCAGTTAGACAATTAGCAAAACCCTTGAACTACATACGTGCTGTTTACTGTGCAGCTTCTCTGATGAGTCATTTTAATGAAGCTCTGTTATTTGATTAAGATATGCCTATTTGGTAATATGATTTCTACATTTATATCGCTGCTTATAAATATTTTACCAAACAAACATCATCAGAGCGTTCATTCACATTCTTGGACTACTTGAAATACAGACAATAATCATGTGAGATAATTGCGGTAAAGATGAGTACTGTAGGATTTCGTACAGCTGCTCAAACAACTCCAGTCACTGTGGCTGTCGAGCACAATAATAAACAGCAGAATCTTCAGTCTTCAGACTGTTCATCTGAAGATACACCTGCTTTCTTCCATTGTCTCTGGAGACGGTAAACCTGCATTGAACTGATTGAGAGTAGAGTATGCTGCTACTGGCACTACTGATATAAACGATCCACTCCAGTCCTTTTCCAGGAGCCTTTCTGACCCAATGCATGGTGTTGCCACTAATGTCTAACTCAGAGGCTGTACAAGTTATTCTGTGAGACTCTCCAGGCTTCTTAATCACAGGATCCGATTGTGTCAGAGTCTCACCATCAACACCTGTCAAGACAAAGAAGAAATGTATGTCAAGCCTTACGCTGGTAGCACAAATGAAAATCCATTATGTCAAATTGAGATTGGTGAAAATCTTCACCTGCCCAGCAGACAGTTAAAAGCAGCAGTCCTGTCCTATAGTCCATCATGTTAAACTGTGTGTCCACTGTTCTCTGTCATCCTCTCTGCAGTCAGATAAGTAGAGGTGGAAGACATCTGAGTTTTGCATTGACTCCTCCTCACAGGGAGAAACTGGATTTACATTTTAAAAAGAAAAGCGTCCATAAATCAAATAATTTTCAGGGCATCAGTCGAAGATTTTGATTTGAGATACAGTGTTGATACCTAAAAACTAAATCTGTCAGAAAAGGAGGAGTGCAGCACTCTGAGAGAGACAGTGGGTTAAAAACAGACAGATACATAAACAAAGTAGATGAGTCAGTGAATACCCCAGTAGGAATAAAAATCTGACACACACGTTTCACCTTTGACATAATTAGAATAATTATATTATTAATTAGTAGTAATGACAGTCAGACAAGAGAAGAATGTTTTTGGAAAATGTCTCCACTGTATATTTAATATTATGATATTTGTTGTTAATATGTTATATTTCTTTGACTTTTTTTCCCCCTTTAATATTGCTAAATATGTCTGTTTCTCTTTTTAACAGTGAACTGGTGTTGAAGTCATTAGTGGTCTGAGAGCTCCTCCTCTGGTGGCTTCATGTTACAAGTGTTCAGGCACTGAGGGGTTTTTGTTCAGGTCTCCTGATGGTTTGTGTCATTGTGGCTCTCTGGCACAGTAATACACAGCAGTGTCTTCAGGCTGCACATTCTGTCCGTTTAGAGTCATTCTGTTGCTGGAAGAGTCTAAGTCGATACTGAACTTGTTCTTTAGGGAATCTTTGTAGGATGTTGTCCATCCAACATGTGCACTTCCAATCCACTCCAGTCCTTTCCCTGCAGGCTGTCTGATCCAAGCTGTACGATAGCCACTAACAGAATAAGAGACCTGACAGGTGATGGTCAGACGTTGACCTGGCTGCACAGTCACAGAGGCTGGCTGTGTCAACTGTTGACACTTCACACCTGTTAAAAAAAGAAAATGTTTAGTAACAAATGATCAAGTTATACTGCAAAAGAAGAACTGCTGACTTTGACAAATCCAGAGAGACTCACATCCAGCTGCCAACAGCAGCAGCAGAGCTACAGAAAACATGGTTTATGTTGAAAGTGACGTGCTGTGAACTCCACTGACAGCCTGATGGGAAGTTTTTATAGCTGAGTAACAAGGAAGGTCACTGAGTTTGCATAGAATCAAACACATGAAGCATCAATGTTGGTCTAACTGGAGCCAATAGAAGAGGCTGTTGACAGTATATACAAATATATAGATTTAGAGTGGATTAAAATTTAAAAAAGTAAATAAATAAAATTAAATCTACAGTTATTTACACACTGTATATACATGTATACACCTGAAGTGAATTGTTTGAATTTGCGTCTGGGGGAATGTAAAGAGCAGAGACGAGATAGCTTTGATAATATGGTCAACATGTTAACAAAAAGATTTATGTTTGAGCACCAAGCATTATTGATGTAAACACAGAGTCTGTGTCCTTTCCTCTTGCTGAGTCTTGTGTTCTGGCAGCGAAGAATATTGTTATTGCTTCAATTACTTTCTTTATTTTCTGCAAACAGAAGAAACAGTGACAGCAGTCATGATCATGTAAATAGCAAAAGAAGAAGGCTTAAAGAAAGAAAAGTAAGAAATGAAACTGAAGTCTGCTGTTTGCAGGTTTGCATAAAATACTTTTAATGGTTTCAGTGTTTGCAGATGACAATGAGGAGCCTCTAGATAAAAACAGCTTCTCAGGAACTGAAACCTCTGTGAAAAATATTTTATGTTAGATAAAAACTAAAGCTGTAAGTTCTTGTTATTATCACCACATTGTACCTTTATCTGTGTCTGATTGTGTCAAAAATAAAAACAGTCTTAATCAAATATCATGCTGTGTGGTTTATAATTTTGTTTGGGTTGTTATAAGATATGAAAAATCTTCCTATATAAAATATTTATATTCATACACAATATATTCAAGTAAATACATTTTATTGATAATAGTAATTAATCAAGTTAAATGCTGCCATACTTAAATATTCAAAATGTGCTGAATCAATTTCATACATGTCTTTTGTTTAGAGTAGAAAAGTATCAACTGTATGATTTTGTACAGCTGCTCAACCAACTCCAGTCACTGTGAGTATCGAGCACAATAATAAACAGCAGAATCTTCAGTCTTCAGGCTGTTCATCTGCAGATACACCTGCTGTCTGCTGTTGTCTCTGGAGATGGTAAACAGGCCTTGAACTGACTGAGAGTAGTATTTGCCGCTGCCACTACCACTATCAATCCTGGCAACCCACTCCAGTCCTTTTCCTGGAGCCTGTCTGATCCAGCTCATCCCATGGTTGCTGAATGTGAATCCAGAGGCTGTACAGGTCAATCTGTGGGATTCTCCAGGCCTTTTAACCACTGGTTCAGATTCTGTCAGAGTCTGACCATCAACGCCTGTTAAGAAACAAGAACATAGTCACTTGCTGTAAGATGGCACATTTTGGAAGACAGATTTAACTCAAGATCAGTGAAGATCTTCACCTGCCCAGCAGACAGTTAAAAGCAGCAGTCCTGTCCTATAGTCCATCATGTTAAACGGTGTGTCCACTGTTCTCTGTCATCCTCTCTGCAGTCAGATAAGTAGAGGTGGAAGACATCTGAGTTTTGCATTGACTCCTCCTCACAGGGAGGAGAGAGCTGGATTGAACTTGGTCATCACCTGTTGAGAGAGTTGTGACTTGAGTCAAATTAAATTGAGTCATACATCTAAATTTTAAATTTGTCTAGAATTCAAATTGCATAAAATTTGATTTTATGATAATATTGTGCTTAATTATTCACAAGAAAAATCCCATACAGCACAATAAATCATTTTGGAGTCACATTTAAATTGTTGCATGTCATAGTTTCTTCGCAAAAGTACCTATTATCATGACAAAAATCTAAACTTTTAAAAGAAAAAACTTAGTAATGTTTTAGGAGCTGTTTACATATCTAAAACTATAAAATTATTTTTATACTACATAAACTTAAACCAATATTTAAAATGATATATATAGTGTAGAATTTGTTTTGAGACTTTATAGTTTGAATGTACTACTATCAGGAAGTAACTGTGCATATCTTGTTGACGTATGTGTGTTGCTGAGTATTTGTGCAGGTCTGTTGGTGGTTTGTATCATTGTGGGCCGACGTACACAGTAATACACAGCTGTGTCTTCAGGTTGCAGATTATTTCCTTTTATAGTCACTGTTCCAGCAGAAGTGTCTCTGCTGTAGCTGAACTTGTTCTTCAGAGCATCATTTTGGTAAAGGTTGCCTCCTCCCCACTGATGAAAAATCCAGTCCATTGGTTTTCCTTCACACTGTCTGATCCAACCTGTTGCATAGCTGCTATCAGTCAAAGAATAACCAGAGACCTGACAGGTGATGGTCAAAGACTGTCCAGGCTGCACAACCATCGTGTCTGGCTGGATGAGATCAATACTGTTCACACCTGTGGAAACAGAAATCAACATTATCTCCATCATTCATCTGACTATTCAGTGTTTCTAATGTGTTTATTAGTGTGAATCCACTGAAAGCTCCTCACAGGATCCAGCTGCCAGCAGCAGTATCAGAGCTGCAGAGAACATGTTGATGTTGAAGCTGAACTGATGTGAGCTCTTCTGTCCTCTCACTGACACACACACACACTTCACTTCCTTATGAGTAACTTTTATTTGCATACTGTTGAATAATCGTTTCAATTATTATTATGTAAAGCAGTTGAAGGTTTAAACAGTGTGTCTTCTCGATTGACCAGACTAGTGTGAGAAATAGTTTTTTATTTAAAGAACATACATTTTGAAAGAGCTTATATGAGCTGCATTTGGGGATGGTGTGATAGACAGCTAAAAGAATAAATGTAAATTTGTACATTTTTGAAAATGGTATTGTTTGTTTTCCAGCACACCTGTGTGTCTGGTTTGGATGTATGTGACAACTGATATTTATACAAGAATAATTTTGGATTTGAAATCTGATGGCAAAGTTTGTTGAATGCCCAGACTTTTTGGTGCAGCTCATTTTTTTTTCTTTCTAATATTTTTTAGATCCACCTGTATATTCTGCCATGATTTGATTTAATGTAGAAAAACTTCAACAGTGAATCATAGAGAGGGTTTTAAAAGTTTTCATTGCAGTTGAATTATGTTGTAATTAAAGTAAGGTTGTCTTCTTAAACTTGTAGGTGTTACTGTGAGTTATGACAAACTATCCCAACACCCTGACAAATATATTTTTATTGATGAGGTGTGTTTCAATGTTAATTTGCCTTCATTTAATGTCAATTAATTTAATGGATCTATCAGCACACTAATGATTTGATGAGATCAGATTTTTTACTGCTCTCAATGTACTTAGACATAAACATGCATACAGCTAAGAACAGCAACAACAATGACTGAAAACCTGTTTGCTCCTCTGATCTCCTTTGTCAGGGTGCTGGAACGCTCCGTGTGCAGTACCAGCACCTTGACATTTTACTCTTTGGCGTACCAGGAAATTTTCTTGCGTACCGGGACTTCTCCCAAGATGCCGGTCCTCTCCTCTGCCTTCTCTTTATCAGGTTCTCTGGGCACTACGTGACGGTCACCTGTTCCCGTTCTCGCCTGCCTGCTAATCTCTGTCAACGGAGAGAGATGGGGGAGAAGAGAAGCTCGGGTGCCTTTGAAGCAGCCTTGTGCTGAATGTAGCTCGCCAAAGTCACTTGTCGTGAACCGACCAATCACAGCCTGGATGGAGTGGGGCATTTAAAAGTATGGACACATAGGTGTCATTTACACTGGGGACACTGGGGACGCTGGGGACATGTCCAAATCAGAATGTCTCCATCACTTTTTGAAAGCTTTTGTTAAAAATGTTCTTAAAAACAACTTGCAACAAGAAATGTTGAATAACAAATGAAACAATTGAGATATAGAAGAAAGAAATGTGCATGGTCCAAAAGCTGATTACTGAATTATATTCCATTATATTTTTATATTTTGAATTGTCTACTGTCACCTTAATTTTGTTTCCCTTCATATAAATAAATTTCCTTGTGTTCAGAATGCAGGAAATTAAGTGGTTAATTTGCAAAGTCGTTAATTAGTTATTTACTAGTTTCATCATGTGGTTGAGGATAGTGCGGGGGGATGGGGGGAGTACTGTCACCCAGTTTTTTCCACTTCAAGCACTGGACATGATTGTACAGAATTCTGTCCTCACTCCTGAAGTCCTCCACTTCGGCCTGACGTAGCTGCCTGAGTTGAACTGTAAAGCAGAGTTTTGTTGTTGCATGTGCAGAAGGTTTTAGTTGGAACATGTGTCCTCAAAAGCTGATACGACATCAGATCATGAGATCAGGATCAGAGCTACAGAGAACATAGTGGATTATGAGGCTGAAGTGATGTGAGATCTTCTGTCCTCTCACTCGATCAATTCAATTCAATTAAAATGCTTTATCTGCATGAATGTTATCAGAACAATATTGCCAAAACTTCATGGAAAATACAAAAGAACAATTCAATTCATACAGTTAGTTCATTAAACATACACAGTATTTTATTTATTTGTCACTTTTAATCACTTTCTCACACACACATTTCACTTGTTTATGAGTGACATGGACTCATAAACTTCAAATCACTTATCAAAACCCACTTTTTTGGACTATCTTTTAACATCAAATAATGTTTTACTACACCTCTTTGTTATTTTGTCATTTATATGGTCGCCCCTTTGCTCTTATGTATTTCCGCACCACATGCTTTTATCTACTGTTCATATATTTTCATGTTATTTATGTTTTATGTTTTTAATCTGTTTTAAATGTACTTAACTTCTGCTTTTACTGTAAAGTGCCTTTCAGTGTCCTGAAAAGCGCTATAGAAATAAAATGTATTATTATTAATAGTATTTATTTGCACATTGTTAAACAATTTTAAATTTGATTTAAGTCAATTGAAGGTGTGAACAGTGGGTCTCCTCCAGTGACCAGACTAGCAAGAGAAATCATTATTACCATCATTTATCTTTTTTATGAAAGGGCTTATATGGACTTAAATGTCAACAAGATGATTAATTTAGCAAAGATATTTTTTATTATAAATATTTCTTAAAACTGAAACTCAATATTGTATGATACAACGTTTAAAGCAAGTTTTCACCGCAGTTGAATTATGTTGTAATTACAGTAAGGTTGTCTTCTTATAAATGCAGGTGTTGCTATGTGTCATGATAAACTCTCCCAACACACTGAAAAATACATTTGTATTAATGAAATGTTTTACATTGTTAATTGGCCATCATTCAATATGTTTTCAAAGCCCTGATGTGCTTCAGTTCTTCTCATACAGAGATGAGTGCTGCTCAGTTTTTGTACAGCTTTGCAGTCTGGTGTGTCACTGTGGCTCTCGTTCACAATAACAAACAGCAGAATCTTCTTGTTTCAGACTCTTCACCTCTAAATACATACGATTTTTGGACGTGTCTTTAATGATGGAAAACTGGCCTTGCAGACTGGGCAAATATTTGTCTTACTACAGTAGCACTTATTTATTCAGTTTCCATCACAATGTCTCAAAAGCACAAGAAGAAATCTTTATCTTGAAATCTATAGTAGATGGTGAGATGTGTTATGTAAATGAAATTAGGGTTGTGGTGAAGCGAGCTCACAAAGGGTGAGAGTATAAAACTCTAGATCAGTCCAAAGTGACAGTTAAGATCAGCAGATTTTTGACCCATATTTTCACAGACTTCAGATGCCAAATAATACATATGGCATGTGGCTGTATTTTTGTGCATGTATTTATTTTATTCAAAACTGGACAATGATTTCAGCAGATTTACTGTCACTGGCTGTTCTGAATGAAGTGATCATTACAGACATTTATTCCAGCTGTGACAGCATGTGGCTCGTATTGTTTTCAACTCCTGAGTCTGTTTGTGTGTCGCTGTGTCAAAATGTGTTCCTGGAGACATCTACAGCGGGAACTACCACAGAGGTGATTTACAGTACTTTTCAAGTCATTTTGTTATTATTAAATAGTATTAATAAGTCAGACATAGAAATGTTTTTGGGAAAATGTCCGCTGTATATTTAATATGATTATATTTTATACTAAACTTTGTTATATGCCTTTAACTTTTTCATTGCGAAATATGTATGTTTCTCTCCACTCTGGTTTGACCCTCAGATTTTTAAATAGACCATTACTTAATAACATCGTATCAGTTGGTTTTCAGTAAAGAGTTTCCTTCTTCTTACTTGCTCACTTAATTTAACAGTATGAGAAATGTGCATTATCATGGTTGATTCTGTTCTAATACTGCAAATTTGAAATTTAAACCTTTCCAGCTCTCAACATTATCAGTACTCTATCAGTACTATTACCAGTATTTATTCATTACACTTCTGTCGCAGCTTGTAGTATAGGCTACTTTACACATTTTCACACACCTATTTCTATTTTTCTATTTTCTATTACTATTCGGGGATCAATAAAGTATTTCTGATTCTGATTCTGTAGAAGCCACTTGTCTCTGTCCAGCCTACGGTGTGTATGT